AAGCACAACCTTCCCACACTGAACCAGGAAGAAATAGAAAATATAAACACCAAACACAAGCACTGAAATTGAAACTGTGATTAAAAATCTTCCAACAAACAAAAGCCCAGGACCAGAGGCTTCACAGGTGAATTCTATCAAACATTTAGAGAAGAGCTAACACCTATCCTTCTCAAACTCTTCCAAAATATAGCAGAGGGAGGAACACTCCCAAACTCATTCTATGAGGCCACCATCACCCTGATACCAAAACCAGACAAAGATGTCACAAAGAAAGAACACTACAGGCCAATATCACTGATGAACATAGATGCAAAACTCCTCAACAAAATACTAGCAAACAGAATCCAACAACACATTAAAAGGATCATACACCATGATCAAGTGGGGTTTACCCCAGGAATGCAAGGATTCTTCAATACACACAAATCAATCAATGTGATACACCATATTAACAAACTGAAGGATAAAGACCATATGATAATCTTAATAGATGCAGAAAAAGCCTTCAACAAAATTCAACACAAATTTATGATAAAAACTCTCCAGAAAGTAGGCATAGAGGGAACCTACCTCAACATAATAAAGGCCATATATGACAAACCCACAGCCAACATTGTTCTCAATGGTGAAAAACTGAAACCATTTCCTCTAAGATCAGGAACAAGACAAGGTTGCCCACTCTAACCACTATTATACAACATAGTTTTGGAAGTTTTAGTCACAGCAATCAGAGAAGCAAAAAGAAATAAAAGGAATCCAAATCAGAAAAGAAGAAGTAAAACTGTCACTGTTTGCAGATGACATGATACTATACATACAGAATCCTAAAGATGCTACCAGAAAACTACTAGAGCTAATCAATGAATTTGGTAAAGTTGCAGGATACAAAATTAATGCACAGAAATCTCTTGCATTCCTATACACTACTGCTGAAAAATCTGAAAGAGAAATTAAGGAAACACTCCCATTTACCACTGCAACAAAAAGAATAAAATACCTAGGAATAAACCTACCTAAGGAGACCAAAGACCTGTATGCAGAAAACTATAAGACACTGATGAAAGAAATTAAAGATGATACAAACAGTTGGAGAGATATATCATGTTCTTGGATTGGAAGAATCAACATTGTGAAAATGACTATACTACCCAAAGCAATCTACAGATTCAATGCAGTCCCTATCAAACTACCACTGGCATTTTTCACAGAACTAGAACAAAAAATTTCACAATTTGTATGTAAACACAAAAGACCTCAAATAAACAAAGCAATCTTGAGAAAGAAAAACGGAGCTGGAGGCATCAGGCTCCCTGACTTCAGACATACTACAAAGCTACAGTAATCAAGACAGTATGGTACTGGCACACAAAAAGAAATACAGATCAATGGAACAGGATAGAAAGCCCAGAGATAAACCCATGCACGTATGGTCACCTTACCTTTGATAAAGGAAGTAAGAGTATACAATGGAGAAAAGACAGCCTCTTCAATAAGTGGTGCTGGGAAAACTGGACAGCTACATGTCAAAGAATGAAATTAGAACACTCCCTAACACCATACACAAAAATAAACTCAAAATGGATTAAAGACCTAAGTGTAAGGCCAGACACTATAAAACTCTTAGAGGAAAAATAGGCAGAACACTCTATGACATAAATCACAGCAAGATCTTTTCTGACCCACCTCCTAGAGAAATGGAAATAAAAACAAAAATAAACAAATGGGACCTAATGAAACTTAAAAGCTTTTGCACAGCAAAGGAAACCATAAACAAGACGAAAAGACAACCCTCAGAATGGGAGACTATATTTGCAAATGAAGCAACTGACAAAGGATTAATCTCCAAAATTTACAAGGAGCTCATGCAGCTCAATATCAAAAAAACAAACAACCCAATCAAAAAATGGGCAGAAGACCTAAACAGACATTTCTCCAAAGAAGATATACAGATTGCCAACAAACACATGAAAAGATGCTGACAATCACTAATCATTAGAGAAATGCAAATCAAAACTACAATGAGGTATCACCTCAGACCAGTCAGAATGGCCATCATCAAAAAATCTACAAACAATAAATGCTGGAGAGGGTGTGGAGAAAAGGGAACACTCTTGCACTGTTGGTGGGAATGTAAGTTGATACAGCCACTATGGAGAAGAGTACGGAGCTTCCTTAAAAAACTAAAAATAGAACTACCATAAGAACCAGCAATCCCACTACTGGGCACATACCCTGAGAAAACCATAATTCAAAGAGTCATGTACCACAATGTTCATTGTAGCACTATTTACAATAGCCAGAACGTGGAAGCAACCTAAGTGTCCATCGGCAGATGAATGGATAAAGAAGATGTGGCACATATATACAATGGCATATTAATCAGCCATAAAAAGAAACAAAATTGAGTCATTTGTAGTGTGGTGGATGGACCTAGAATCTGTCATACAGAGTGAAGTCAGAAAGAGAAAAACAAGTACCGTATGCTAACACATATATATGGAATCTAAAAAAAAAAAAAAGGTTCTGAAGAACGTAGGGGCAGGACAGGAATAAAGATGCAGACGTAGAGAATGGACTTGAGGACACAGGAAGGGGAAGTGTAAGCTGGGATGAAGTGAGAGAGTGGCAATGCCATATATACACTACCAAATGTAAAATAGCTAGTGGGAAGCAGCTGCATAGCACAGGGAGTTCCGCTTGGTGCTTTGTGACCACCTAGAGGGGTGGGATAAGGAGGGTGGGGGGGAGATGCAAGAGGGAGGGGATATGGGCATATACATATGCATATAGCTGATTCACTTTGTTATACAGCAGAAACTAACACAACACTGTAAGGCAATTATACTCCAATAAAGATGTTAAAAAAATGTATTGAACATCTAATATATGTGCTTGGCATGGTGTGTTCATCAGTGAATTAAGATAGATCTGGACCGTGCCCTCATGGGCTTACATCTAGTAGCTAGCTGACACAGTTATGGACAGGGATAAGACCCAAATGAAAATCTGCTAACTCTAAATTTCTTCCATTTTGTATTTCACATGCTTCCTCCCAAATAATTTGAATCAAAATGTGTGACATTCCTCAAAGGTTACTTTAAAAAGTAGACCATTTATCCCACATATGAATTATAGGATGGAGAAAAGAGGTAGGGGTTGATTTTTAAGCTTCTATGTTGCCCAAGACCTAAGACAGCCCAGCCACGGTAAAATCCCCTTGTATCATAGAGCCTTAGTCAGTAGAAGGGATTGGAAAACCATTGTTTTCATATATTTAAGTTTTCAGTTATTTAAGAATGTACAGTTGACTCTTGAACAACACAGGGGTTAGAGGTGCCGACTCTGACCCTCCACACAGTTTAAAATCCACATAAGATGTATAGTTGGCCCTCCATATACCCTGTTCCTCTATATATGCAGTTCCTCCATATCAGCGGTTCTGCATCCCTGGATTCAACCAACCGGGGATGGTGTAGTACTGAAGTATTTACTCTTGAAAAAAATCTGCGTATAAGTGGACTCACACAGTTCAAACCCATGTTGTTCAAGGCTCATCCATATATTGTTGAAAATGGCATGAGTTCATTTCCCCGCATTACTAAGTAGTAACCTAAAATTCTATGACCCGATGAATCTTACTCTCTGATAACGGTGCCTTTCTAGTGTCTCATGGTCACAGCTCAGAACAACTGTTCTCATTGTAATGCATTGTTAAGAGAGTAGATTAAATCTCAGCCTCTCAGTTATGCCAAGCAATTGGTTGGATTTTTCAGAATGTTCAAAGCCTGCTTTCTTATGTTTTACTCTCTTTTCTAGACAATTAATTTTGGCAAGCCTATAGGAGGAGCTGTCATGGCCAATATATTCTGAGTTTTCATTTGTTTTCAGATCTTGCTCCTAAAAAATTCAGATTTATATGTATTTATCCAACTTTGACTCTTATTCAAGTGAATTTTACGTGATCATTGTTACATCAGTTAAGACTCTTGGTTGGAAGTAAAAGAAAGATCCATTCAATTGTGATTAAGCAAAAGGTAAGTTTCAGTGTAACTAACTAGAACCTAGTTTTTCTTTCTCCATCTCTCAGCTTCCTGACTTTTGGGTTGGCTCCATTCTCAGACAGACAATCTCCACATGGTCATAAGATGGCTGCAGGAATGCCAGCCTCACAGACCCTTAAGTTCATATCCAGTGGAGAGAAAAAATATATCTGCTGGTGGCATTCATAAAAGTCTTGACACGTCCTTGAATTGCACTGGTTTAGGTCAGGTACCCACTCAGGAACACATGTGCAGGCTGTCTCGGGCCTGGGTCATGGCTCCACTCGATGTAAGGATCAGAATGCCACTGAGACCTCACAGACTGAGAGTGGGGAAAGGGTAAATCCCCAGAAGAAAATTGGAGGCTGATTCTGCAAGGAGAGGTAGGCAAAGAAAAATGATGGAATGCAATGATTAACACTACCATTGACAGCATTGGATGATTATAAGCATTGAACCAAACCCAGATTCTTTTTAAAGAATACAGCCATTAACCAGCTTGGATAGCTGTCCTTGAACTCAGCAATTGTCTGGGTAAACACAAGGATTAGGGTTTCTACTTAGCCTTAAGGACTAGAAAAGCTAATAGAGACAGTAAAACCTGTTAAAGTAACTCTTCATTAGAGAAAGTGTAAGCTTGAGTAGGCACTTGGGAAGTTGTTTGTAACTAAAGGAAAGATTATTTTCTCTTACAAAACTGATTTATTTCTTGTTGCTTTAGGAAAGGAAGTATTTGATAAAGTAACAAGATAATACAGATTCAGTGCAATAGTGTGATGGGGGAGGTAGGAATGGAAATACAATTTAAACTAAGGTTGCTAACAAGAAAGAGATCCTTGGGATACTGCATGGATAGGTGTTCTAATATTAGGCATAGATAGAAAAAAATCATTTTGGACAACTGCAACTCTTATTAGGAAAAATACAACAGCCATTTATGGTCACTTTATTTCTTACCATTTTGGGTGGGATGTTTGAGATGCTTATCAAAATGAAGTTACTTTCTTTTTTTTTTTTTTTTTGCGGTACGTGGGCCTCTCACTGCTGTGGCCTCTCCCATTGCGGAGCACAGGCTCCGGACGCGCAGGCTCAGTGGCCATGGCTCACGGGCCCATGTGGGATCTTCCCAGACCAGGGCATGAACCCGTGTCCCCGTCATCAGCAGGTGGACTCTCAACCACTGCGCCACCAAGGAAGCCCTGAAGTTAAATTTTGACAATATAAGTGAAGTTAGCTTTTGACAATGTCAGTTAAACACAGATTTACTTGAAGTCATATGAGTGAGGTCTCTCTCTTTGGGTAAAAAGTGACTGAAACCCACATCAAACTAGCTTAGGCAAAAAAGAATCTATGTTGGAAGGCTCAGATAGTCCTGAGATGGCAAGGGCACACCTGGGCCTCACAGACAAGGAATCAGAGATTCAAACACCACCCAGAGTCTTCTCCTTTAATCCCTTATCTCTGTTTCTCTTATGCTGGCTTTATTCCTAGGAATTATGCCAAAAACAAATCGAATGTTCCACTTCTCAATTTGTCTTAGGGAGAGAGTAAGCCTCTTTGCCCAGGGCCAGTTTTTCAAATCCTGAAGAAGGACTCTCATTGGCCTGGTTTAGGTTATCTGCAAACTCAGGACCAAAACACCGTATTTTGATCAGCCCTACTTGATATGGTTACTCATCTCTAGTCCAATTTGCTAAGGCCAGGAGTTGGGACTCCCTACAAGATGTTTGTGTTAGAAAAATAAACATTTTCCAGAAGAAAGAGGGTTGAAATGCTAGGTCAACAAAACCAGAGATGTTCACATCAAACATCCAATTTTTTCCTTAATAATAAGGAATATTAATGCCAATAAACATAATTATCACTTTAACAAGTAGAGAGTTACAATTTCAATGCTAAAGACCACAAACCAAGATGAAATGCTTGGCACAGGTAGATAACCAAACATTTCACAGGTGGTGTCAGGCTTTGCTCACTGTCCACCCTTGTCAGATGGCCTCCCTACCCTGCTGAGATCATGTAGTGTCTGTTGAAAGTCAGAGCTCTGCCCAGATTTCCTAAAATGAATCCTAACCTTAACCTTGGAGTTCTATGTGCCACTCTGGGACTCAAGATCAAATCATCTTTCACCTGCTTTTGACCTTAAGTTTCAATTCTAATAATCAGACCTCTGCTTTGCTCATCTTTACCTAAGCCAAGTTTCCCCCTCTCTCCGTCCTTCCATTCTCTTATGTGACACTGCAGAGCCACAGCCCTTCACAGACATGCTTCTTAAAAGGAGTAGTACGCAAGATCTTGGTTTCTAAGTACCATTTTCCACTCAAAGGAAACAGGAGTCCTTAGAAATGGCTGATTCCAAAGCTAGAGGAAGGAAGTACAAGAGGAGCCTGAAACACCTTATTGTACCAGCAAATAAAGAGGCGCTCAAAACTGATGGGGAATGTCAAAGAGCTTGTAGGGCTCCTTATCTTAACTGAATTCTTAGCAGTATATAAAACTATTAATCTCATCCTCCTTCTTGAAACTCTCATGTCCTCTAACTTCTGGTCATTTTCTCAAAAACAGCTCCTTCTAAGAGTCTTTTCTGGGTATCTCATTTTCTGCCCACCTCATAAATACAGGTGTTCCTTGGGGTTCTGTCCTCAGCACTTTTCTCATTCTATTCCCTCTCTGAGTGATCTTAGCTAATCCCACAGCTTCAATTATTATATAAACAATGGCTCTCAAATATATACTTGCAAGTATATTTATATGTAGGTAGCAGAGGAGAGATAGATTTAGCACAGACAACTCTCTTAAAGCTCCAGAACCATAAGTCCATCCAATTGCCTCCTGGATATCTCCACTTAGTTAACTCACTGATATCTCTAAGATAACCTGTTAAAAACTGAAGACATTTTTGTCATCTCGTCTAGTATTCTTTATTTCTATTACCGATACTACCAACATCTGACTGTCTAAGCAAGAAACTCTGGGGTTATTCTTAATGTCAGTGCACTTCAGCCAGAGATCACCAGAAACACATCCCTAGTTGAACAAACTGAATTTATTACTCATTGTAGTGAAGGAGGATACACAGCCTAGGGAACCCCAGGACTCAGAAAGAGAGTGTTTGAAGGAACCTATTAGAGAATTTGAGATTTGGTTGAGTGATCTGAGAGAGGGCTGAGGAAGCAGGAGTCTGCTCTAGATTGGCCACTGTTGGAAAGAAGAGGCTAAATTTTACGATCGGCATCTCAATACATCTTATCTACAGGAAGGATGCCCCAGAGCAAGGATAGCACTATATATTGGTAAAGAAGTAGCTGTCACTCATTTCAGCCGAGAGAGGGGCGGGGTGTTTTGTGTTTTGTGGATGGCACAGTGACCCTGTTTTTGTCTGTGCTTCAACAAAATTATCAACTGGACTTGTTTTGTCTCATGTTGTGATGGTCTCAGAATAATCTTATCTGATGCTGGTATTCTGTGAGATTCTTATGCCAACAGAAAATAACATGGCCTAACTCTGAATGCCAGGTCAGATTCTGCATGTCAACAGCTGCTTTTTTCCCCTCTTTCTCATTCATTACTCTCTGTCATTCACATATAAATTTCTTACCAAGTCCTATTAATTTTACTTCCTACATATCTCTAGAATCTGTCCCCTTCTCTCCATCTTCTTTTCTGCTTCTCTAATCCAGGCCATTATCATTTGTCATCTGAATTACTACATCAGTCACCCCACATTTCATCTTGCTCCTGTTCTAGTCCATCCTCTACCCTCCCCCAGTTAGCCAGAATGAAGTTTCTAAAAATATCACCCCTGCTTAAAATCTTCTTTGGTTACATTATCAGTCATGTTGCTAACATTTAAATGGTAAAATTAAAAATCACTGAGGTTAGCACTGAAATAAAACTATTCTTTTCTCCCTAAAAGGAATTAAGAAGGGTGGAAGAATTTACTTTTACACAAGGAATTGCTGAATTTGGACACTATTTTGATACGCCTTATGACTCAATACAAATCAACAGAGTGACATGACTGCTAAAAAACAATGCATTATTGACACCATTAGCAGAAGTATACTGTCCAGAACAAGAAAATGATGTTCAGTTCAGTTCTAGGTAATACATTTTAAGACATTATTTTTAAAATATGTCCAGAAGAGGGCAACCAGGACAGGGAAACCATGTCATATGGATAATCAGAAAAAGTGGAGCTCAAAGAAAAATAGGGATATGACAAGTATTTTCTAATATCCAAAGAGCTGTCATATGTAGGAGGGACTAAATATATTTTGTATAGTTCTGAGGACAGGATCAATTCTGAGAATTACAAATCATAGGAAGATTGATTTCTACTCAGTATAAGGAAACACTTTCTAATAATTTGAACTGTCCAATAATGAGTTAGCTGCCTAAAAAGGTAATGAACTCCTGGTTACTAGAAGGGTTCAAGCCAAAGCTGAATAACTGTCTGGAAAGAATGCTATAAAACAGGAGATGTCAAGCCATCTGTGATAAAGGTACAGTTTTTTTAATCCATTGTGGTCCAATACCTTTATAAATTATAATAAAACTAAATTAGTAGAATGAAAAGAAAAAAATTAAAAGTACAAGCTCAAAAGTTTTATTACCTAATTCAATGAATATAAACTTAAATTTTAATAAATAGAATTAGAACAAACATAAAGGAAATAAAAAAGAATGATAAAACTTGTTCATTGAACATGTACATTTAGGATTAATATAGAAAATTTCTATAACTATTAACATTTTGTTGTTCTTCAATTGTAACTGAAAAAAATTATGAGTGAATTAGCAGTTTTCTAGATTAGCCCAATATAGGCATACTTTGAATAAATACCTTGCATATTAATATTGTAAAGTTTTAATATTTTAAAACACCATGTGACAAATGAGCTTGTTTCTTTCTTGTTAAAATATCTACAACAGGGCTTCCCTGGTGGCACAGTGGTTAAGAATCTGCCTGCCAATGCAGGAGACATGGGTTCAAGCCCTGATCCGGGAGATCCCACATGCCGTAGAGCAACCAAGCCCGGAAGCCACAACTACTGAGCCTGTGCTCTAGAGCCCGTGAGCCACAACTACTGAAGCCCACATGCCTAGAGCCCGTGCTCCACAACAAGAGAAGCCACCGCAATGAGAAGTCCACGCACCACAATGAAGAGTAGCCCCCGCTCGCCGCAACTAGTGAAAAGTCCGCGCGCAGCAACAAAGACCCAATGCAGACCTAAATAAAGTTATTTAAAAAAAATTTAATCCAGGTTGGATTGACGACAATGGTACTTTCAGGGAATGATGTACATCTAAACTACTTCTATGAGATGTTTTAATATCATTCATAAGAAAGAAGTGAGTTTAAAAATAAAAAACAAAACCTATGGCTCATACCATAAAAAAAAAAAAGAGAACTGAGTTTATAAAGGCATGATGATGGGAATGGAAAAAAGAGGTTTTAAAATAATTTCAGCATGCTCACACTATTCATTTTTAACTTTTGTCCAAAATGAAGGGAGTGATCCTGTAATTTCAAATTTTATTTTTAATTCTTCATTAGTTGCCAGTTAGAACAATGTATCCTGTAAGTCTATAATTAAACTTAAATCATCTTTTGATGAAATAAATGGATACCACATCTATGAATTTACTGTCTGGACATTCTTTTAATGGAAAATAAAATTCTAAGCATTTTATCGAATTAATAATAGTTTGATGATAACGTTTTGCAGATGTGCAACATCAAGATAATCACCTCTTTCACTGACAATTGTTAAATTATGGAACATGTAATCACGATCTGTAGAAACCCTGTTCTTCCAGGCTTCTACATTTTGTTTTTGCCCTTTGATTTTATCTTCCACTGAAAAACACCTTGCATTCCTCCTTTGAGTGGACAAATTCTGAAGATTCAAATTCTGGAGATATCAAACAAATTAATAACTCTAGCTGGCCAATTTATATCTAAAAAGTTGGGCCGTTGCAGGGGACGCGGGTTCATGCCCTGGTCCAGGAGGATCCCACGTGCCACA